GAGGGCAAGCGAGACCTCGACGAGGTGGCTTGTCGACGTCGACGACAACAGCAAGGCGAAGCTCGGGCTGTTCTTGAAGGAAGTCGAGGCGCAGGAGGCTCGCCTGAGGGCCGCAGGAGAGTCGGAGCTGTTCAAGCCCTCCCAGCGCCCCTCCTCCTCTACCGAGAACAAGCTGCTGGCCAAGTACGACCGCGTGCTGCAGACCTTGGCGTGGCTGCTGGTCTCGCCGGACGCGGAGGGGAAGCAGAGCAAGGCAGCGGCGCTGTGGGGGGGGGGGGGTAAAGGAAGGAGACAGAAAAGACTTGGTTGGGGGAGAAATCTTGAGAGAAAGAGGTCGGAGGAGCAGCCACAGAGATGAAAGGATACGGTAGCAAGTAGGAAGATGGCATGATAAAATGGGGTGAAGAGCGTCAGCTGAAAGACTATCTTGATATCTCCCGAAACCCTGCTGCTCACCATGCTGTGGTGGGATGAACATACATCTCTACATCTCTTCAGCCATCATGCATGGACACGCATGGAAGGAGTGAACATGCAAGGAGAGAACATGGTACTCTGATGTATCTGACCTGCGACGAATGCCAGAGATGAACGAAGCGCACGAGGCCCACACGAGGTTGCTCAAGAAACTGGATGACTTGGCACAACGAGCAAGGATGGTAGGGAGAGGTCGTGTGGATGGACTGGCTGCTTGTGTGACGCCCGTTTGAAGCAAACAACCGCTAGCCCGCAAGATGGTTGGCAAGATGAGGAGAAGGATGTGGAGAGTAGCTGGACATGTGGGAGGAAGCTGGAGCAAGACAGAATCCTTGATCAAGTTGGAAGTTTTGATTGTAGACAACTTGCGATGTTGTGTTGAAGCTCCCCTTGTTTTCAGTGGAGACATGTCATTCCCGAGATCCAGCAGTTCTTCTCTTCCATCAACACCGAGATGAAGTCAACGATGGTTGTGAAGAACGCTGAATGCTAGATTGTCATTGCTGTGCAGGACTATGCGGCGAGGGAAAGGAACGTGAAGATGAAAGAGCAGCTGCTTTCGAGGTCAATGATCTGATGTGATTGCACGACTATGATGCCTGATTGATTCTTGCAGGTATAACAACATCTCACAAGTTTTATCACAACTAGAGGAGAGCAGGTACGAAGATCGTTCAACAACCCAAATCTCGTCCTGTGCTGTGCTGTGCTGTGCTGTGCTGATGCAGGAAAGCATCTGTGATGTGAGTGTTTTGCATTCCCTCTCATCTTACCATCAAGGATTGTCTGCTGCTTGTTCTCTCTGCACCATTTGACATGCTCTGTATCAGGCTCAACAACAGCGATCCGACATGTGCATTGGATGGTTGTAGTTGCTCTCAACTATCATGAGCTGAGATGTATGAAAGTTCTACGAAAGCACGAGCATGCATATCAATCTCAAGATGATGGACAGCAGACGGCAGGAGACGCACTGGAGGTGAAGAGGGAGGATGCGGCTAATAGCAGCTGAGAACTCTTGACCTAGGGAGATTCTCTTTTCCTTGACGGACCATTCGAAGAAGGAGAAGAAGAAGATGGGCGGGAGGGCGAAGGTTTCGGTTCCCAGTGAGACTGAATGTTGTTGGACTAGATCGAGCGCTTCATTTTGTTGTGAAATATGCCATGTTTGCCGATCTCAAATTTTCACAGATGTTTGCCTTTATGCTGGGCAGTTGTTGTGTTTGACGATTTTTGATTGTTTGGGGTTCTTCACTTTTTGTTGTGCATGTTATTGTTTGTATGCTTGAGAGCTGCTCCTTACATGTTGCTTGTTGGGACTTTGATCTTTGTTCCCCCAGTCTGTCTTCGTTGGAGCAAGCAGAGCTGAGCGACAGGCTGCGGGAGATGACGAGGGCCCTCCTGCTTGAGCTGCAGGCATCCTCGTCCAGTCTTCAGCTCTATGGAGGGAGGAAGAAGGTGAGAAGGATGAGGACGAAGACGGAGAGGCTGGGGACAAATGGAGAGAAGTAGAGGAAGGAAGAAGGGGAGAAGAGGAGTAGGAGGTAGTTGTGGAGGAGAAGGAACAACGGCAGGAGCAGGAGCAGGAGCAGGAGAAGGAGAAGGAGAAGGAGAAGGAGAAGGAGCAGAAGTAGAAGCAAATGCATCGTCGTCGTCGTCGTCGTCGTCGTCGTCGTCGTCGTCGTCATCATCATCATCATCATCATCATCATCATCATCAGTAGCAGGAGCAGGAGCATCAGAAGGAGCAGGAGCAGGAGCATCATCATCATCATCATCATCATCATCATCATCATCATCATCATCATCATCATCATCATCATCATCATCATCATCATCATCAGCAGAACTGAGTCATATGGCAGGAAGAGAGGGAGGAGGGAGAAAACCTCGGGGCGCGCGACGGGCTTTCCCTGCAGGTTGTGAGGACTTGAGGCAGTCATCCTCTGACATGCGCGAACAGGAGAAGTCCAAGACCAGAGACGGAGCAGAGGAGGGAGAGAGGGAGAGGATGGGAGAGAAAGGAGGCAGCGAAGAGGAGGAGAAGCGAGGAGTGAGGCAGAGGAGAGGAGAGGAGGAGGGGCAGTGGGCAAGGACCCGGGGGGGAGAGGAGGGTAAGGGAAGGAGGGGCAGCAGCAGGGGAGAGGAGGGTGAGGAGCTGAACGAGATTGCCAACGCTATGAGGCATGGGTAACAAGTTCAGCCTCCTTGTGTTCCGCTATCCTTCTTGCATCGTCTTTGCCTGTCCCCTCTCCTCCTGCTCTCCTCCTGCTCTCCTCCTGCTCTCCTCCTGCTCCTGCTCTTTCCTCTTCTCTCCTCCTCCTCTCCTCCTTGTTTCTTCACTTTCTCTGTTCTCCTTCTCTCTCCTCCCTCTCTCCCCTTCTCTGCTCCTCGTCTTCTTTCTTCCTCTCCCTCACCTTCAGCTCCAGTGATCTCGAGTGGCGAGACTCGTTCCAGACCCTGGCGGTGAGACCCGTCTTGGCTCCTCCTTTCCACTTGCTTTTCCTCTCTTCATCCCCTCCCCTCCCTTTCTCAATGTTTGGCTCTCCCTCCCCTCCCCTCCCCACCCCCCCCCTCCCCCCCCCCTCTCCCTCCCTCCCT